TTTCTGCTGAACACAGATTTGACACATGCCTTCTAGTTTAACAGGGTTTGGGTCTCCATTCTCTTCCCCTCCATCATGAGTTGCAGTTTTTATCCCTCTGCAAAGCTGTTGTGGGTTTGGCTTTTGAAGACCAGGCGACACTTTTCACTCCCCAGATTTTGGTAGGATGAGGGCAGGTGGAGGCGCTCGGCTCTCCCACGCATCTCTTTGCAAAGTAGCTGCTTTACCTAGCTCTGAGCAAGTTCCTTCCCACACACAGAGCAATGCTGCCTGAAAGCTGGAAAAGCTTGTGGTGAAAGTAACTGGTCCCATCAGTAAATCAACCTCTTTCCCCTTGGATTTGTGATACCTTGATAGATTCCCTTTGGCCATCCTGACCTTTTCCTCTTGACATCAGAACGTTCTTTGCATTCTCCCTTGGCGCAGGACCCCCATGCCCCACCAGAAGAACTGAGGGGATTTTGCAGAGGGCTGTAGGCACCAGTCAAATGAACACAGAATTATAAAAAGTTGGAGCCAATCATCTGATTTCAAGATAAAGGGCCAGGTGTATTCAACCAGGAGCAATGAAACATCCTATAATGCAGCAGAGCAGGGGAGCCAGCAAAACTAATGACAGGAAGCCTGTGCCAAAATCAATTGTTTCAGCCTTTGCCTCTCAGTGGACTCTCGGATGTATGCACAGAGCTTTGAATGTTGCTCACATCCATTCAGACTGGGAGGCCAGATTGATCCAGGTGACAGACTGGGGCCTGATTCAGGACAGTGCTTTGGAGGAAGAGAACTGACGCGAGAAAGGGGGACGTAAACTTTGTGGTGATAAAGCCAAATGTTCATTGAAGAGGTGATTGGGAGTGGCAGGGTCACAGAGCTGTGCCGACTGCTTCCAGGAGCCACATCTGTGATTTCTGATGCTTGGCATCACAACACTAGGCCTTTACAAAGAGATTGACAGCACATGTTCTTTGGGCTAAATGAGTAGGAGAGCTGCAGGAGAACTGGGGCAGGGGGCTGAAGCTTGGATGCTTACAGAGCTCCTGCCCCTTGCCAGCAGAGCAAAGCAGAGCAGAGCACTGACTCTTTGCCTGCAGAGCAGATTATTTTGGTATTCTGACTCTGAAGAGGCTGAAGGCACAGGGAAGTGGGAATCCTCCCCTTTGGGCCTGTCCTGCCTTTGTTGGAGATAAGTCAGCCAAGCTGTGATTTGTATCATTGCCACACCTAAAAACCATGGGTGCACACAGTGAAGACAGAGCCTGCCCCAAGGAGCTGGGAGTCGCTAGCAAGAAAGAAGCCAGTGTGCTGGGTTTGGGGTGCAAGAGCATGGCATCTCCTAGGCCTCAGAAGAGGGAGAAAGCAAGATGCAACAGCCAGTAGTAAAATAGCCTCTTTCCATATGGAGCTCCTTTTCCCTGCCAGAGCTAGTTTCCAGAAAGACTTGCCGGGCTGTGTGGGGAGGGAGAGGTCCTATTACCAGATGGCTGTGGCTGGGGGGGACCAGGGGGGCTGTAGGAAAAGCACTGTTCTTGCAGATTAACGTGGTAGCTGGTAAACTGGTACCAGAGGTTTGCACGTGGGCATCGCCAGTTCCCACTCACATTCTCTCTGTTTGCCAGGTCAGAGTTTGTGTCGCCTCCCACCGTCTACGGGAGCCCTGGGGTGTGAGAGCCAAGCTAGACCCTGCAGGCCAGATTCTGCTGTGTGTTCAGGGGGTTATATGGGTGGAACCGAGGGCAGGATTTAACCTGGCAAGAGCAATTTGGTTATCCCTGCTGTTTATTCAAGGGCCAGAACAGAATGCACCTGCTTCTTCTGCAGCTGTGTGGCCTCTGCAGGGCTAGCCAGTGAGCTGCAGGGCAAATGTATTTTGCTACAGTCACTAGGTGGGATTGCGAATGAGGGTCAGGGAGCTGATCTGCTGAGCAAGGCTGAAGTTACTGGCACTGGGTCAGCTTCAGAATAGAGAAGTGCTGTAGATGAGCTCTTACAGGGCTTCTTTTCCCTTTAGGAAGCTCAGTGCGGGGCAGGGTCAGAGCGTGGTAACAAACCTGTTCCAAGAATCCCACCAGACAAGACTGCTGGGCTGGGCTGGGCTGGGCTAGGGGAGGCCTGTAGTGAGGCCATGTGTGGGAGACCCATTTCTTGTTCAGTTAAGACTTCCATAAACTTGAGTCAGCTATTCAGACCCACACAGGAGCTTCCTTCCAGAGACAGCACATTCACAGTCGCATCAGAAACTTGAGAGAGCAAGAGAGAGAGGAGGTCTGACCAAAAACACCCAGACTTGCTGCATTGGCTGAGATTTCTGCTGAAGGTCATTTGGAAGACAAGGGCATTCCAGTATTTCACGGGCTGGTGACACTCAAGTTCACACAGTCCCAAGGAGTGGAGAAGGGCAGAGACAGCACCAAGAGGGTCCAGGCTGGAAACTCACCCCAATGGAAACCACATTTGCCTTGCTTGTTCTGATGCAGGAACAAAAGAACAAAGCTGTCGCAATCCCTGAAGCTTCTGGGGTCAGGAACAGTGCTACATTTTCCTAAGGAGTTTCATACTTTTCAGAGGCCAGCTGGAGAAGCTTTAATAAGCAATTGCATAGTATTAGTAGGGGGTGGGTCCCCAACATTGCTAGTCATTTTAGAAACACTAGGCTAAAACATCTGCCTAGCTAAGAAAGTATGGGCCAAAGGCATCCCCATCTAAACGGGTGCAGTTCCCTCCCATTGGTATCAGTTCAGGCAATTCCAGAGCCAAATTTGTCCCATAAAATCTAAACCCTCCAGCAGACAGGCCAGTGTGGCCACAGAATGGGCCTTTCTCTGAGAAAGGGGAAATTGTTCTACCTGCCAACAAGCACAATCCTCCCCTCCCCTCCCTTTGATCTCATTTACTCAGCCTGTTCATCGAGATAAGAGGCCTGTGTATTAAGAGCTTCCTTTATTTAGAATCGGCTTCGTCCTTCCATTTTAGAAACAAAACATAATAAAAATTATTTGGGGTGCGAGAGTCTCCTTTGCCATAAGGTGTGATAGCAGACCAGTGTGGGGACGGTTTCCTGGGTTAAGGAGTGTAGTCTGGGTGGCCATGCTCAGCTGTGCATTGCCCATGCCAGCTTCTCTGCAGGAACAGCTGCAGCTCAGTCTCCCTCTCTCAGGTGCCGAGCTGGAGAACAAGGGCAGGATGTTTATAGCTGGACGTTAAAATTAATCTTTGAGAAGCTATTGGACAGCTTTGCAAATGACTGCTGTGGGAAAGGCTGCTAGAAGGAACAAAGGCGATTTGACTATCTCAACAGCAGACACCAGACTTACCCATCACTCACCCAAACACTAGCCCCACAGGAGACACCCTAGGTCAGGGGTGGGCAAAATGCGGCCCGTGGGCCGGATGCGGCCCACCAGGCCATTCTATCCGGCTCGCAGGGCCTGTAAAAAATTTAGAAAATTAATATATATCTGCCCCTGGCTGCCTGTCATGTGGCCCTCAATGGCTTGCCAAAACTCAGTAAGCAGCCCTCCGCCTGAAATAATTGCCCGCCCCTGCCCTAGGTCCTGCTCTGATCCACCCCTACCTACCACAGTCCCTGGCCAGCAAACAAAAGTTTGTCAGTTCACATGAACTCCCTAACCAAAGAGCAAACCTCAGCTCCTTACTGATGAGAAGTGCTAGCTTGACGGTCCCTAAAGCTGAGGTCCTTTACCCACAGGACAAGTACAACCCGGGTGGTGGTAATGTCAGTCTCCCCCTTGTATGGTTCCTGTCCCATGTGACTCCACAGGCAATAGACTGTGGTGTTGCTGACTTACGGTAGCCCAAAGTGAAACCCAAAGCCAGGAAAAGGTTGCATGCTGTCCTATAAATTCTCCTAGCCCACAAGTGTCTTCACAGGGTGGAACTGCAGAGCATCTCCAGAGTAGGTGAACTTACGTGGACTTCATCTCTTGGTGAATGTCTGTGTGGGAAGGGCAGGGCTTACCCCTGTGTCTACCAAGCTGTGAGACAGTACGGTGGATGGACCACAAACAGTGAAACATTGCATTGCTTTGCTGTACACCAGTACCATTCATCCAAGGGCCTCCAAAGCTTTACAGATGCAGTAAACCCCACGAATGAAACCTAGGAGCTCTCCTGAGAGGGTGGTTGTCCCCACTTTTGTTGATGGATAAAGACACACGGCCAAAGAGATGCCAGGGGTCAAAAGTCATAGTCTCCCGTTTCCAACAGTGGGTTTGAACCAGCACAGAATAACAGCAGCCACCAGTCTGGTCGCGAAAGGATGCCCCACTGGTGTCACAAAAGCTGGTCTGCCCGATGCATTGGTGCACCCCAGATCCACTGCGTGTGCATCTGTAAATACAGACCATGTGCCTGGTTGAAGGTGCCCATGATATTTTTATGCTTGGGAACAAGGGCAGCAGACTGTTCTGTGCTGCACTCACAATGTCTGCTCTCTGGCCACAGAGCATCTGAGCACACGGCCGCCAAGTCTGCAGTGAACTGATGTGGCCTGAGCTGCATGAGAACTCAGCTGCTGCATGGACTCTGAGATGGCAGCGGAGGCTGAATAAACATGGCCGAGACAGGCAGCATCTGGGACCCTCTGGACCGAGGGAAGGATTAAGGGTCAGGAATTGGATTAAGCTTCTGGCAACTGCAGTTTGGCACTGAAGTAGATTCCATATGTTGGGCTGAAAATGGTGTGAAGTCTTTGTGGGTGGATGAGAGAACTGGATGTGTACCTGATGTGGAAAGAGATGGTGTCTGAGGCTGGGATGGATAAGAGCCAACCTACT